GATCAAAATCAAAAGAGTGCCTGATGGTCTCATATTGACTCAGTCACATTACGTGGACAAGATACTTGACAAGTATAATAAGGATGATTCTGGTATAGCCAGGACTCCCATTGATATAAGTCAACATCTGTCCAAAAATAGAGGTGAAAGCATATCCCAGGTGGAGTATGCTAGAGTGATTGGCAGTCTTATGTACTTAATGAGCTGTACAAGACCAGATATAGCCTTCACTATAAGTAGATTGAGCAGATTCACGAGTAACCCAGGAGATGACCACTGGAAAGCAATTGTGAGAGTACTAAGGTACTTAAGATACACTCGTGAATATGGATTGCACTACACAAGAGAGCCTGGTGTTTTAGAAGGATACTCTGACGCAAGTTGGATATCCGATACAAAGGACTCTAAGGCGACCAGTGGATATGTATTCACCTTGGGTGGTGCAGTTATTTCATGGAAATCTTCTAAGCAAACGGTAATAACCAGATCCACGATGGAAGCTGAGTTTGTCGCATTGGATAAATGTGGTGAAGAAGCAGAATGGCTTAGACATTTCTTAGAAGACATTCCGGATTGGCCAAAGCCTGTACCAGCAATTTGCATACACAGCGATAGTCAATCAGCTATTGGTAGAGCACACAATACAATGTATAATGGTAAGTCTAGACATATACGTCGACGACATAATACCATTAGACAATTGATCTCAACGGGAGTCATAGTCATTGACTATATAAGGTCGAAAGATAATATTGCGGATCCACTGACTAAAGGACTAAACCGAGATCAAGTTGAAAAGACATCGAGAGGAATGGGATTGAAGCCCATGGAAAAATAGGTTGAAGCAGTGGAAACCCAACCTAGCTGACTGGAGATCCCAAGATCTAGGTTCAATGGGACAACTAAATTGTCTAGACTGGCTGAGTTCACTGTGGGGGTAACCCCAGCCAATTCCTATGATGATAACAGTGAAACCCGTACGAGGAAAAGGTTAAACATTGGTTTCTAATGATTCTTATGCGTCGGATACGACAGGAATCCGAGCGGAGTAATACGGGTTACTCTTCATTAAGAAATCACCTATGTGAGAGAGAAGTGGGGCCGCTTCAAAGGAGAATTGTGAGGGCTCAATTCTTTAGAAACTCTTGCAGAACCAGGTAGATGTTCATGGCCGAAACGAACATAACCATGAGAACAGAACTGTGTCATGAAGATGTCTGCGTGAAGTACAATAACGTTTACACTAAGGCAGAACAGTTCAAAGACATCGCGTCTACTGGTCAGCCAGTAAAGTTTTTGTATTCTCACAAGGGAAGGTTCAAAGGGTAACGGCTACCTATCCTTTGCAGGCATCGACCACAGAACTCTATCACCGTGTCGAGTTTGTGTTTTTCTTGTCGTCGGTCAATTTTCATTCATGTGGGGGATTGTTGGAAAAAATGGCTTATTAAGCCATTTTAAAGGCCCATTTTGAGGCCCATATTCGGATGGGGCCCAATAGGTTTTTGAGACGGGTCTCGATGGATTTGCGTTCTCCGTCGTGAGGAGATTGAAATCGAGTATTCATACACTCAAAATGGTTTTGGGTGAATGAGAAATTGATGGTCTAAGTATGGTACTTGGAATGGCATATGTAGAAGGAAAATTGCAAAAGTCCCACATTGGCTAGGAGTGAAGCCAATGAGGTGTTTATAAGTGATTGCACTTTGAAACCTAGGTAAGCATGTATACCAGAGAGGCTCTCTCACGCGCAGGGGGGGTGCGAATCACGATCCTGGCGGGTTGGGGCCTAATGTGTGCGCCTGCGACCTGCGGACACGAATGCCGGACCGAAAAACCCGCTCCGCGCGAGCTTACTTTTGCGATTTTATTTTTGCTCTAGCCAAGACCTTCCAGCTTCCGTTTGGCATAAAACAATGATGGTTAAAGACCATAATGAGACCTTAATGGTGATCAATGGAGGCAAAACCGAATCAAGCTTTCATGGCTTTGGTTTTCCATCATCAAAAGCTGAATTACTAGCCAGAATGTGGCCAGATTCACCATGGGAAATCAAAAAACGTTTTGGCTGGTTTTAATCACCATTATTCCGGGAATAAATCTGGGTTATTACACCATAATGTCTTGGTGTAACACCCAAATTTTGGAGCCTATATAAAGGCCAAAACTCCACATGAAAGAAACACACTTTCTCACAATTCTCTTCTCCTCTTTTCGGTTCTCTCTCTGTCTTGGTTTGTTCCAGATTTCCTTGAGTAGTTCTTGTAGTTCGGTTTTGGTGATAGAGGGAAGATCAAGTTCTAGTTCGCCGGACGGTTCCGAAAGTGCATCGAGCTGCCGTCGTTGTCGTTGTATCCTGGGAGACGGACGTCCAACGTAACCTCAAGCACACGCCGGAGGGGACGAATCTGTTTTAAGGACAACGTGGTTCACGTGCCTCGACATTCATACAATTCCGTTTTCGAATTCCATAGAAAGGTTGATTTCGGGTTGTAACAATTTTCATTATTTTGTTATTCCTTTATTTCCTTGTTCTTCTTTGTATTTTCTATTATATTGTATAACAATTATTATTATTATTATTATTATTATTATTATTGTTGTTGTTATTATTATTGTTTCTTTAGTTTTTTGGATTGTGGTTTTCCAATATTTTATTGAAACACGATATACATATTGGAATGGTCTTTATATATATATATAATAGGTACCGGTTCAAAGACTTTGCCTCTATATATATATATATATATATATATATATATTTTTTTTTTTTTTGATACTCATGGATTGCTTTCATCTTATTCTGTTTAAAAAATGAATAGTACGTATATTTGTATGATATCGCTATGGAGGCGTGGGCACGGATCTACATCTAACTAGTGGGGGCATGAAATTCACCTTCACGGTTTGCATTTCTCAATTCACTTAATGATGTTTTACAATTTTTATATACTGCAAGTTCAAGTTCAACCAATTAAACTTCTCCATTGTAAACCTAATCTAGTTTGTCTATTATTTGAACTTTTGTTGAATTGGATGAAATCATTCATAGTCACTTTACTCCCTATTCTATTATTTTGTATTTCTTTTTTCTTTGAAATTTTCCATTATTTCCAAAACCGTGGTAGGTAGACTTGTTTTCTCTTAGGTAATCAAACGTTTTCAGTGGAAACAGATCATTGAAGAATAATGCTACGATGCCCAACTCTATTCTAACTTCTTAAATCTGTTTGTCTTTTGTGGGAGATCTTGTCGCTTATTATATAGTCGTACTCGTTTGTAAGTTGAATTGCTGTCGTTTACGAGACATAATGCTGTATTTGGAGTTTATTATTGTTGTTTTAGGAAATTTTTGGGTGCGTTTGGAACGTTCTAAAATAATTTTATTTTTTATATAAAAATGAAAATAAAAATATTTTTAATTTCAGATAAAAATTATTTTTAAAAATGCATTTAGTAATTTAATCAAGAGATTGTTTTCAGTATAAAAAAATTTAGTAATGTCTCTCTTTCTCTCTCTCTCCTCGAGAGAGGAGAAAACGAAAATAAAATATGAATAATGACTAAAAGTCGTTTTTCATTTCTCTATCATTTTATACTAAATCAAAAAATCGTTTTTATTTTGTTTTTATTTTGTTTATTACGCCAAATAACGTTTTGAAAACATTTTCATTTTTTCTTTCTCAAAAAATGTGAAAAATAAAAACGGGATTAATTCCAAACATGACTGTTGTTTTTGGGTTATATTGTCGTTTTTCTTAGATATCTTCTCCCCTTTTCAAGGACATTCATTTTAGGCTGTCGTTTTTACATGCTTTAAAAAAAAAAAAAAAACAAAGTTCAGCAGATAAAAAAAAATAACGAAACTACAAAACATTTCAATATCATAGAATAACAGATTGCCACCCTAAAAAGAATTCTCCATATCACCTCAGTTGTTGTTGTTTTTTTTTTTTTAGGAGATTTTGTCGTTTACTTGTTTTTTTTTAGAAGGAAAAAATGTCGTTTCATCAAGTCTCTTGGTACGTTTGGTTCTACAACTTCTTTTAGCAAAATTTTGGTTCTACAACTTCTCTTAGCAAAACGCTATCCGGCCGCCGTTGTCTGCTAAGCCGCAAAAGCCTCCATTTTTGCCTGTCTTTGCTTCGCAGTGCTTCCGTATATCTTGCCGCCAAATACCTCCTTCTCTCTCTTTCTTCCGTACAATGGCGGCCTGCAAAACCCTAGTCAGTATTTCCCTTTCTTCGGTGGCTTCTACTCTCCGAAGCAGTAGACTGACCTTATCTTCCCCTCACAACTCGCCCTCTCTTTGTTTCTCTCCTTCCATTTCCTCTCCCCAAGGTTCTCTCCTTCTTCCTCTGTATTTTCCTCTTCATTTTTCTCATTGTCTGCTAATCGACCTTCTTCAATCTTGTAGGGCTAAGAGCACTGCAGAACAGAGTCCTCTCAAGATCCTACGCTTCGATCGAAGGAGCTTCGCTTTCAATCGAATCGATCGATTCACCGGAAGAGATTGAACCGCCGGAGAGCCCGACGCAGGACAACCTCGAGCACTTGCTCACGCACAAAGACGACGTCGTACGGCTGATGAAGATGGAACGCCGTCGTATCGACACCGATCAGCGGACCGGCCGATGGTTCCCGTACCTGGACCGGTTCAAGTGCGGAGACGCGTACCTGAGCAGCGGCGAGGTAGTGGAGGCTCTGGAGCCGCACATAATGGAATCGAGGATGGAGAGGTTCAGGAACGTGGCGACTAATAGGAGCTACTCCGTCTGTTTGGTGGTCGAAGGGCTCAGCGATTTCGGGAACGTTTCGGCGGCGTTTCGGTCCGCCGACGCTCTCGGATTTCAGTCAGTTCATGTCGTCTCCTGCGACGGCTCCAAAAGGTGCAACGACATCTGAGGTGAAACAGAGTACAAAGAAAAGATAATTAAAGATTGCTGTTTGTTTTCTGTGCTGTGTTTGTTCGCAATTGATTAGGAGTTTGAAAGTGGTAGTTTTAGAATTTCTGAGTTGATATTGTTGAACAAATTACCAAAGCTTCATCTTTTTTATTTTGTTTTCTTCAAACAGGTATAGGGAAAATCGTCATGTTAGCAAGGGTGCAGAGAAATGGTTGGATATTGAGGTTTGGGACTCCATTGAAGACTGCTTTAAAGCTCTCAAATCGCGTGGCTATCGAATTGCCACTACCCATGTGGGTATGGACGTGGTATGTTCTTTTGGATATCCATATGAACAGGAAAAATAAAAACGTCATTTTTTTTAAGTGTTATGAAATACAATCCGAAATAGCTAGTTATGGGACTCATGTTTTACGTTTAAACTGACAATGTGTTATTCTTAGGTGTCCATTTACGAGATGGATTGGTCATGCCCAACTGCCATTGTAGTCGGCAATGAGAATAGGTACGCCTCTTGTGGCAAATGAATTTATTCTGTAGTTTTTTCAGCTGATAAACTGCTCTAGTTTCTGTTGTATAAGATTTTACTATGCTGGTGGGTAGTGGTTTTTTTTTTTTTTTTTTTTTTTTTCAAATTATTGATTACTGGCGTCATTATCTGTTAACTCTTTACTGAGTTTCGCCTATTATGGTATAGATTAATATCTACTTGTATGGAATTTAATTGATAATATCTTCTGGTGCATTTTTCCCAGAAGAAATGGTCACCTATTTCTCAGTTGGGGAAGAGGGAAAAAAAAATAGCTTAATGCCATTGCTCATATTTTCTTCTTCTTCTTCTTCTTCTTCTTCTTTTTATTTTTTATTGTTGTTGTTGTTGTTGTTTAATGGTTGCATCATATTTTTGTGTAGGGGAATAAGTGATGAGGCACTGGGATTGTCGGATCTGCATTGTAGTATTCCAATGAAAGGAATGGTGGACTCCTTCAACGTTTCAGTTGCTGCTGGAATCCTCATGCACCATGCTGTTTGTGACAGAATTTCTCGCCTGGTAATGACAGTTTCACCTTTTGAGAGGATCCGATCTTTTTTCCCCTTAATGAACATGCCTGCTATTTTTAATGCTAGATGTTGTCTTCTTTAAAACATGAAAATGAGAAGAAATGAGAGGGACAAAAAAGTGAAGATTTTCAAGTACTAGAAGTAAGGTAAAAAATGACTCATCGCTTTGGACTTTTAGAACTTGAAGAGGAACCGTGGGTTACTACTGATTGAACTTCCTGTTACTAGACAATGGAACCCTGTCAAAGACTGTAGAATAACTTTCATAAGCCAAATTGAGTTTTCTACCCTCTTATGATATTTTCTTATTGACCTTGTTACAAAACTTATTGAAATTTTCTCTTTAATAATCTGTGATATGCGGTTTAGTCTTCATAATGAAGTTATCAGCAGTCGGTGACAACTTTTCGTTGGCCACCTAATTAAGCTTTTTCGTCCAATTTGGTTGATTTTTCCATTAAACTGTTGCGCAAAAATCTACAGGGCTCTCATGGTGATCTGACAGTGGAAGAACGTCAAATTCTACTTGCGGAGTTCTCCCTTCGTCATGGTAAGAGTTCAATCAGCATTGCTCATGAGTTCGCCAAGCGGAAAGCAGCTCTGCCAACTCCAAAGCTATGAATTTGATGTGCTACTTTTGTATGCTTTCACTTGGGGAAGCTCAAGAATCATGTCTCACTCAGTCTTGGGAACATGCCTAAAAGAAGTGACGAAGATGAATTCCTATTTATTGCACCAAGAACAGAAAAGAATGTCCAAGAAATCTTTCTAATTAAAAAGAGGGTCTCAGTTTGACATTTGTTGTAATGGAGGTGATACGTTGGCGCGCCTTAGTAGCTGGGTATAGTCCTTATTTTTGCGTCGCTTTTCTTTGGGATTTTTCATATTCATCTTGTGATTTGTATAGGAGAAAAATATTACGTCCTTCTGTTTTGCAAACTTGTTCAGGAAAACTTGTTATTAACTTCCAATTCACTGATGGAAAAAGGGAAGGAAAAAAAAAAAAAACACTTATTGCTTGGATGATATTTCGTCTCTTTTTTCTTTTGTATGCTATTGTCGCTGTCTTAACATACGTTGTGTCTATTGTACAACATTAATCGTCGTTTTTAATTGGTCATTTTTTAAGTACACTGTTGCAAACGTGGTTTCAAAAGATTAATTACAAGAATTCTCCCTCAACTACAACACTGGTAACAGTGTGCCCTAATTTCAGAACCTAACATTTGTTCCCTTTATTATATTAACATATGTGGTTGCTTCTCTTTTAATTAGTCATTTATTGGTGTAGGCAGCAGCTGTTTTCTCTGGCTTAAACCAGATGGAGCCGGCTATGCAAGCCAAACCTTAGAAAGAAAAGAGCAAACCACTAACAGGGCAACATATGGCTGAGTAATTTAGGATAATTTCATTAACTTCTTAATTGTTTGACAATCCTGATATATATAGCTGGTAGATTACAGCATAACAAAAACGACTTGCAAACTCAAAACGACAGGGAAAAGAAAAGACTTAAACGGCAAGAGCCACGAAGGCTTAAACGACAACCAAATGCTTAAACGACAATAAGAGCTCCTGCATCATTGCCTCCCTCCGTGAAAGAAGTCAACTCTGAATTCTCAATGATGGTGGTGTCTGCAGCGTCTGGAGGATGGTAGTCAAACATATCAGTAACGTTGAAGGTGCTTGAAACCTAAGTTCGGTGGCGACGTAGGCATTGTCATTGATCTTTTTGAGAACTCTGTATGGCCCAAATTTCTTATGTTGGAGCTTGTGATATGTCTCGACCGGCATCCTAGTCTTGCGAAGGTGGACCATCACCAGGTCCCTCCATCACCAGGTCCCCCCATCACCAGGTCTCCCTTAAAGAACAGTTTCTCTCTTTGATGTTTGTCAGCAGCCTCCTTATATTTGGTGTTGGAATGAGTCAGCCGCGCCTTGACCTCTTGGTGAGTGCGCACTGCCTGATCAACCAACTCCGTTGCAGTTTTGCTCTGGAAATGTGGTAGGCGCAACAGATCAATAGTCTAGTTTTGGCTGTGCCCGATGGAACAGTTCTTGGCACTGTTGAAGGCGAATTCAACCTGAGCAAAGGCCATATCCCACTATTTCGGTTGATCTGCAGCAAGGTAACATACCATGCTACCCAACGTCCGGTTTACCACCTCGGTTTGACTGTCTGTCTTTGGGTGGGCAATGCTACTAAACTGAAGAGAGATATCAAACCGTTTCCACAACTCTCTCCAAAAGTGGTTGATGAATTTGATGTTATGATCAGAAGTGATTAATTTCGGGACCCTATGGAGGCGAACGATCTCTTTAATGAACAACCGAGCCACATTACTTGCATCTGCAGTTTTCTTGTAAGCAACGAAATGAGCCATCTTTGAAAAATGATCCACGACCACCATGACGGAATCAAAGTGGCGAGGGGTTTTCGGCAAGCCGAGAAAAAAATCAATGTTTAAGTCCTCCCAAATGTTGTCCAGAACGGGCAAGGGTAAGTAGAGGCCGGTGTTTTGACTGCGGCCTTTTGCTCATTGGCATAATCCACACCGCCGAATAAAGTTAGTTATTTCCTTCCGCATATGCGGCCGGAAGAACCTGTCGGCGAGGAGCTTATAGGTCCTATCTTGCCCTGGATGAGCCGCTAATCCTCCTACGTGCAGCTCTCTGATCAAGTGTTCCCGAAGTGATGAACGAGGAATGCAAAGCTGGCAACCCTTCAGTAAGTATCTGTGGTGGATATGGTAGTCAGAGACTCAGTCACCGGCAGAACACTGCTTCCAAATGGTAAGACTGTACAAAAAAACTGTAAAATCGAAACCGACCGCAACTGACCGAAGAACCGACCGCTCAAAACCGAAAACAACAGTGCCACGTGGAACCGAACACAATCGGTTCGGTTAACCGACCGACTCTCTGGATATTCGGTTTGGTTTCAGTTTTGCATGTGCAGTGTCGGTTAAAACCGAATCGACCGAGGAATTTTTTTTTTATTTTTTATGTTTTCATTTTTTTTAAGCTTATGTTGTCGTTTTTAAGATTGGAATGTCGTTTTTAGTTTTACAAGTCACAAAACTGAAAAAACCCACCCTCATTCTCTCAGTCTCTCTTCTGCCTCTCTCTGTCTCTCGCTCTCTCACCCAGACAGACACCCACGCCCACGACTACCCACCCTCACGCCTCACCTCTCTCACTCTCACCCACCCTCACAGAAGCCCTAGCCGCCGCTTCTCTCCTCAGTCATCCTCCCTCGCACGTCCGCCTCCGGCCTCCGGCTCTCTCACTCTCTCTGCCGCTCTAACTCTCACGGTGAAAGAAGCCCTAGCTGCCAGCTGCCGCTCTGCCGATCTCCTCAGTCCTCCTCGGGCTCGTACGTCCGCCTCCGCCAAGCTCCGCCGAGGTTTGGCTTTTGTTTCTCCACTTTCTATTTCCATCAAGCTTGGTCGATTGGATTTATATATGCTGTTGCGTTTGATTTTGATATATTATATATATATATATATATATATGTATGCCATAGAATTTGTGGAAGGAAACATATTGATATTGTGACTAAATTGGATTTCTATTTGCTGTTTCACAATGACTAAATTAAAATTATGTTAGAATGGAATTCTGGGAAATGGGGGAAAAATATAAAAGGAACCATTGTCTGTAATCTATATGGGAGAGTTTATGTGAATTTTGGAGAGGTTTTTGCTAGGTGAGCATGGCGGAGACGGTGGAGAGAGAAGACGACGGACTCGGACGGTGTCGTTTTGGGATTGAAGAAAGGGGAATTGGGAAATTATTCTTTAGAAGGTGAAAGGGGATTGAAGAAAGGGGAATTGAGAACAGGTTTGGAGTTTGGACGGTTGGACCCATGTACTCAGATTCACAAAACTCATTTTTTTTTTCCTTTTTTTTTTGGGATTAAAAGAATCTAGAAACAAGGGTTTAGATTAGATAAGAAGCTAGAGAAAATCAAATAGGGGTAGAATTTGATGAGAGTGAAGTATTCACAATAGTTCTTCAATCCAAGGAATTCCTTGGCATTACCAAGGTTTGGAAGTGAGGGAATGTGAGAGAGAGAGAGAGAATGATAGTTTTTAGTGAAGAAGTGGGTGTGTTTGTTTGGGTTTTTAGTGGTTAGA